AGGTTCTGAGGTTCGCCAAAGTCATGTTGCGCAGCGCCGAGAAGGTAGGCTGTTGGCCGTGGAAGATGCAGGCTGTACGCAGTGCCCAGACCGCTCCGATAAATGCCGCCCTAATAACCTCCATGGCGTATGCTCTGTCTTTCGAGACGGCCTGTTGGGTCAGATATGGTCCCAACAGCAGACAAGCTTGCCATTGTTGATCGGTCGCCATCAAGATGTCACCGCCAATGACCTCTTTCCACCACATCCAGAAATGGTTTGGGGCCGGGCAGGAAAACCACAAGTACGGGAGGTCTTCCAGCTCAGCCTGGCATTGAGGACATTACGAGTCTTTGAAGGCGGTGCGGGCAGGAAAACCACAAGAGGCCGGCATGCTTCTGGTTCAGGAGCAGCTGCAAACTAGTACAGGCTTTCCTCAAAGCAGGCTCATCCCATATTTCGTCAATAGTGGCAGGAAGACAACGTCGTTTTTGCCACCTGAGCTTAAGCTGCTGATGTATCGGGGTAGCCAATGTGAGGGAGCGGTAGATAGTCTTAGTGCGGACTTGGTGAAGACGCTCACATGTCCTTTGGGAGCGTTGCGGTCTCCATTCCCACATAGAAGGATCCACCGCCAGCGAGATCGGGGAACGTTCTGGATGAAATGGTCGGTACAGCGGCATTGAGGTTCGAGACTTGTCTCGGAGGACAACCACCGATCGAATCGCGTCCGCGGGGAGCCAGCCGTCCCGTTCAGGTACCCTTTGCAGCGGGCCAGTTATGGCCGTCTTGAGTGCTGGGCGGTAGGCCTGGTCCTGCCATGCTTCGCCCAAGAGCCACTGCGATCCCACTGTTGCCTGCAATCGAAAGAAGGTGAGCGGGGGGTCGTGTGCTCGCAAGACCACCCACCCTACTGGAAATCAAAATCAAATGAGCTTTTKCCCTTTTGCTCCACACGAGATTTCTGTTCTCGTTGAGCTCATCTTAGGACACTTGCGTTATCTTCTCACAGATGTGCCGCCCAAGCCAAACTCCCCACCTGACAATGTCTTTCGCTTGGATCGGACAGGCCACGAGGGCCTGCACCTTGGATCGAGAAGCAGGGGCAGAGCCCCGGCTCCACCTCACGAAATAAGTAAAATAACGTTAA